GGGAGAAGATCCCAAGAATGGAAAAACAGCACCAGATATATTCTCCAGCAAACTGGTATTAACTGAGTAGCACCTAATGGACACATAGGTACTACAGTAATAGGTATTGGGCAGTGGGAGGGGAGGGGGTGGGTATATACATACATAATGAGTAAGATGTGCACCATCTGGGGGATGGTCATGATGGAGACTGAGACTTTTGGGGGGAGGGGGGGAAATGGGCATTTATTGAAACCTTAAAATCTGTACCCCCATAATATGCCGAAATAAAAAATAAATAAATAAAAAAAAATAATAAACTCTAAACTCCTAGACATATGGTAAAGTGGAAGAAATTCCATGAATTCCTTGAATTATTTATAGATTTTAGTGTACATATATTTATTAAATACTAGAAAGTTTGTAGCTTTCAGTTATTTCTCAAAATCTATTGAACCTCCACAATTAAATTTTAATCTAAAATTTTAATCTAACTTTAAATTTACATTTAATTTCCTTTTGACTTTTGAAATTAAAAATAATTATATTAAATATTAACATACTACCTTTATTTAATCATACATCCAGTCAAGGCAGATGCAAAGAGATATGAATCATGGTCACCAAAGAATGGGAAATCTAATCCAAAAGATGATTAAAACAGTTTTAAGCAGGGAATTCAAAAGATATTTGTATACCAATGTTCATAGTAGCATTATTCACAATAGTCTAAAAGTGGAAACAAGCCAAAAATCCATCAATGCAAGAATGGATGATTAAAATGTGTGATATGCATAGAATGGAATATTTATAAAGCCTTAAAAAGGAAAGAAATTCTGACACATGCTACAACATGGATGACCCTGGAAGACATTATGCTGAGTGAAACATGGCAGACACAAGAGGACAAATATTGCAGCAGCCCACATATACACAGTACCCAGAAGAGTAAAATTAATAGAGAAATGAAGCAGAATAATGGTCCCCAGGGGCTGGGGCATGAGGCAATGGGGAGTTACTGTTTAATGGGTAGAGTTCCAGTTTATGATGATGAAAAAGTTCTGGAGAGAAATGGTGGTGAGGGTTGTACAACAATGTGAAAGTCCTTAAGGTTACTAAAATGAACACTTTAAAAAGGTTAAAATTGTAGGTTATATATTATGTGCATTTACTACCACAAAAATATAAAAATTAAATTTAAAAAAGTTATGAAAAATTTGTTTTAAAAGTCTGAACACCAACCCTGAGGTGACCCTTAAAGTTTTATAACAACTCAGAATTTTGTTCCTGAAAGATATTTACTTTTGGATTTTTTTAATATTAAAGCATGAGCAACACTTCCTTATCGAGCAATCCATTGTCACAAGTCCTAAACACACCCAACTGTGCTACTAACCTGCCATGTGACCTTGAGCAAACCTTTCAAGTTCCCTGGGCTTCTGTTTTCTTGTGAGCCAATGGAGAAGAGTTGACAAGATTTATGAGGAGCTTTGTTTTAGCTAAAACTCTTTAGATTTGATGACTCACTTAAGAATTTCTGACATTGCCATGTACATACTCAAGGGTAGCCATTTATTTTTCAGGAATCCATGATGATCCCAATGATCGATTCTATTTTAGCTGCCTGAATAAGGGGCTCCCTGAGAAAGCTTCCTTAAATTTCAAACATCATAAAAGGGGAAAGGGCAATCTATGATATGTCAAAAGAAAAGTGATGCTTATATAGAAGAAGTGTTAAATACGGCCAAATCCTTTGTTCAATATATTTCTAAGCCATGGTATAAAGAAGCATTTATTAAATTAATGTGTATAATTTGTGGATGATTGCTTGGGGTGGAGTAGAAGACAAATAAGGGAGAAAAACAAAAGAGTATGGAGTGTTGATTCCTGGTACACAGGGCCAAGAAGATTTCAAACAGATTTTATGCACATACATGCACACACATGCACATACACCTTCCTCATTCATTCAATTCAAATACATTTTTAAAAATATTTCGCTAAGCCTTTCTATGCAGAAGGCATTTTCCTCTTTTCCTGGAGTACAAGAAATCAACAATTGGTGAGAAAAGATACCTGGTATAATAGAACTTCCTCCCTGACGAAGCATGGTGACATGATGACCATGATCTTGAAGAATCTCAGAGACCCGGTCCATCACTAGGTAATGGCTTCCACCTAAGAACAGTGTACAACTTCAGTTCTGTAATGCAGAGAATACAGTGTCTGATATACATAGGGTGGTTATGTTGAGGAGAGGAAGGGTAGTGAAACAGGAAGCTGACAATGAGTAGAGGAAGACACATTTTGTAACTCTCTCCATCTCCCTCTGGGTAGCACACAGCTCATGACTGCCCAAATGGTTAACCAATGGAAATCCTCCATCAAAGATTGCCCCTTGTGACTCATAGTCTCTAAGCAATGTGATGAGCTTCTCTGTGCTTAGGCTTAGGAGTTACTCATTCTAAGCTAATGCTGCATTTTGAAAAAGGCCTTATGTTGATACTCTACCCAAAAGAAGTAACAGAACTGGTGGAAAATATAGGCATGTTGTTGCACATATCCGTGTGCAGAGCTTCTAAGAGGCAGTCGATCCATCAGAGCCCTAATTCTCACTGATGTACTAGGGGTCTAATAGAGCCTATTAAATGTGTTGACATAAACTCTTAGGGAAGCTCCATCCTGGCATGACCACTTTACTCTGACACATTTTTCTCTTTCATCATCAATCCCTTTGGGAGAAAAGTAAATGAAATAAATCTAAGGGCACAAAATGCAGAATTCACGGTCCCATGAGTCCTTTAAAAACTTTCAGTAGCACAAGTTAAAGGAAGAAGTGTCCAAAACGTCCAAATGACCTGGGTCCTCCCTCAGTCTAGAACAGATCTGCAGGATTCAACTGGATGAAAACAATCCACTGTCCTTACTGTCAGGAAATACTTCCCCTACTGTACTTTGACTCTGGATACAGCTTCAGAAAATGTGCAGGGCTGCCCCAGGAGTACTTTCTGTGACCTGCAAGAACCTGAAACTGCTTGTCATAATTTCTACTGAAAGCTACTGTGCATTGGCTCCCGTAGAGTTTAGGATGAGACTCTAAATGTCCCATTGAGCCCTGCAGAAGGCAGCCCAGGTGCTTATGCTCTGGGATGGATCTCAAACCTCTGGCACCAGCTCTGCACAATGGGGAGTGCATCCTGTATAGGAAGAGAGAGGGAAGTACTTTGATTTTCTGCAAAACTATCTTGCCCACCTCATCAGTAGAGGCCCCTCTCTGCACCACAACTTTGGGAGTCCCGCTTTCCTCCAGCACAGTACAGAATTCCAGTCTGGAAAACCACGTGGATGACTCTCTGATCAAGACTCTCTGATCTTAACCTAAGCCCTAGAAGCAAGGACAACTGTGTCACATGTTTCTGGATTTTCTGGCCAAGCACTCACCTATGGTAGACACTGTCAGGATTTTGGCAGCCTCTGAGAGCAGGATCCCAGGGAGAAGGAAGCCCACCAGAAGCAGCACCCGCTGCCCAGCCATGCTCTCTCTTGCAGAAGCCACAGAGCCCAGCCTGGACTGCACACCCTGGGCCAGGTTAAGGGATCCTGTGTAGCTCAGTGTACCAAAGGTGCTGTGAGCTTAGGAAGAGGTAGGAGACAGCCAGTCTTCTGTCATCTCCTTTGCAGTTCTACCCTTCTCCCGGGGTGATGCTCCATTGGACAATCTGCTTTTCACACCACCCGTTGTCAGTAAGAGGGTGTGGTGAGCTAATCCTTAACCCTGCTGTGTCCTTGTAATTACAGGGCTGTCTGCCTGGTAAATATGTACCAAGAACTAGAAATGGCAGGGATCTCAGTAGATCACGTTGATGACAGCTCCACCCCCAAGCACCCACATCTCCGTTATGTGTGCTCTTCTGAAATCCTGGTGCTCTACCTTTCTGCCAGCTGCCTCATAATGACCTCATACTGCCATCCTGATGCCCCATTTCCTCAGGGACCTCCTTAAAACTTTGAGAGGCTGTCTCAAGCTCAAGAAACAGACTTCCCTAGAAGGGAATCTCCAAGGAGAACGTTTTACCACCCCTGGACTCTCTCTCGGGGCATCTTTAGAAGGTGACATTCATGAAGAGGCACTACTATACTCTGGAAATTCAAGTCTTTACCTGGAAGATTAAACTTCTAAAAGCAAGACTCTAATTCTGAACGAACGTCATAAAATAGGATGAGGAATCTTTCCATAAGCTCCTTGACCACAAGCTAAGGACAGTTTGTCAAATCACCCCGTTGTCCTCTTGGCCTGGGGAGGGCAGGGTCGCTATGCCCATGACTTGCCTTTTTCTTCCCTATCTTCAAACCAACACTGGCCTGAGGATTGGCTTTCAGCGCAACTCTAAACAGGCAGAGAAATGTTTCAATGGACCACGTCTCCAGGGCGAGTGGGCCCTTGAATTCTGTACTATTACTGTTCTCAGATTGCCAGGATAATTTTTTCATATTTAAATTTAAATTTAAAACATTACATTCTTATGCCTTTATGCATCCCTCACATAGCCAAGGCCATCGTGGGAGGGAGGGTGGGGGAGAAAAAGAGAGAGGAGGGGAAAGGTTTACCAGGAATCATAAGGCTCCACCATCTATTATTCTTGCACTTTTCACAACGCTTTTGCAAAATAAAGAACTTGTTATCAAACCCCAAGCTTTTATTGAAAAATTATATTGATAGGCAGTTATTATGCCAGGCATTGTTCTGCTGGGCAGACAGATTTTAAACACATTTTAGAAAATATGTTAACGGCAAAAGCTACTAGGAAAAATGAAACAAGGAAACAGATAGAAAGGGGTAGGTATCAGAAGTGTCAACATTTTAGATACTATGATGCAAACAAACTCTAAAGTATCATAGGAGTATCAGTGATATTGGAACATAAAATTTCATAATACTCATTAGTTGCTTTGTAGAAGAGTTCTATGCCACCATGATAACATAAGAAGAAATTCTTATTTCTTAAGAATGTACCGTAAGTACATTCAAGTCTCTTAAGGTACATTTTGAAGTATTTACAGATGAACACTTACGATGTCTGGGATTTGCTCAAAATAATTTGGTCCGGGGAAGCAAGCTCAGAAGTGGGTGTAAATGTAAAGAAAGGAGAAGTGGGTAGGAAGCTAAGTGTTGGGCATGAGGAAGTTCTACTTTTATAAATGTTTGAAATTTTTCATTAAAATCTTTTTACAACTTTCCCACTATGATTTTATTTTTCCTTCTTATGGCAATATTTGCTGTATAGACTTAAGACCACATTGTTAGATGCATACACACTGACAATTATAGTTTCAGGTACCTTATTTTCCCAGTGAAACAGTTAATTTTTATTCTGAAACACCATTTTTGTTTCTAATAATGCTTTTCACCCAAAATCATTTTATCTGATATTAATACTGTCTAGTTTTTATTTTTTATTAATATATCATGACCTATCTTCTCCTATCACTTTGTATGCAACCCTCCTGTATCCTCATATTTTAGATGTGTCTCTGGACATAAAAATTAGTTTCATATTGTTAATCAGGTCTGTCAATCTTTCCTTTGAATTGTAGCATGTATATTTAAATCTATCATGTTTCCATTTCTCCCACTTATTCTATGTTTCTGTCCATCTAGTTTTGGCTTCCTTTGGAAACTTGGATATTTCAGGCCACTAAACGCACATCATCTAACTTCTGTGGAGGGGTGTCTGTCTCACTGGCTCAGGCAAACGGGTACCCAGTGCACAGGTGAACCAGCTTCACAACCTGAATTCTGTGGACTCACTAGCCTCCAAAAAGCCTTCTAATAGGAGTTTGGGAGATAGCTCTCTTGCAATCTGACATTTATTTTTTTTACTTTTGGGAAGCTATCAGTTATTTGAGTTTAATTTTAATTTTTTCTTCTTGTTGATCTTTATAGTGCATATGGCATGTAATCACATGCAGATTGTGGCCACCCAAGAAGGAGAAAGTCCTTCTGACATGCTCCATTTCCTCCATCCTGACACCCACCTCAGCATTTTCCAAACCTTAATGCCAGCCAAAAGGGAAGAGAGTTAGCCAACATGTGGGTAGGCTTGGCAAAAAACACACCACGCATGATTGCTCAGGCGAATTCTAGCCCCTATCAGTAAGTCTAAAGTCCCATCCTTCTATACATGATGGGAAATTTAGCCATGGATACATACCTCCTACTCATTTAATACAAAATCATATATATGGATGACTGCCGAGCCAGACTGACTGACTCCAAAGAGAATCCATTTGGAAATCATATTTCTACACAACCACAAATAGGGAGGCTTTCACCCTTCTTATAGCACCTAAGGCTTAGTGCCCACTGCTGGTGACAACATGCAGCCCTCGCTGTGTTGTCCTTGGTTCCAGCACAGCCTTGGTTCAACGATTCCTTCCCTCTTCTGATCCACACAGTGATCAAGGGCTCGGGCTCCAACACTGAAATCACCTGCTCCTCTGCCTATCTAGGGGTTCCAAAAACACTCAGAAATTCATTGAGCCCAACTCAGTGCCATGTGCTTCCTCAGGCCCAGCCAGAGACTGTGACCAAGAAACAGAAGACTGTGTTCCCCTCATGTCCGAGATTGCTTGCTGCTTTGGTGTGTATACATAGGCCAAGACAAAAACATCAGAAAATTGTTCACTCTGGAGTATTATTTGGCCATTTTCCATGTTCTTCAGACACTACAGGTTGGATTACCCAAAGAAACTCCCAGATGCCTTTGTCCTTGTCACCTGCCAATGCAGACACTTTCCAGCTTCCTTATAATCTTGACAGCCGGATGATGGAAGTCTGGGCAATTAGGACAGAAATCCCTTCACCAGTGGGTCAGTGTTTGGGTTGCAGGGGAAATATTCTGTGAAAGCTTTTACTTTCCTGGAAATCTGAAAACCCTCAGTCTCCCTGCCTGATCAGCCAACAAGGAGCTATCTGTGGGCACCAGAGGCAAGTTCCAAATGTGAAGCTCTCCAAGGGTGTGCCTGACCCTGAATGCATATGCATGGGACAGGCTTCCTGAGCCCTGAGTGTGCAGGAGCAGCAAAGACAAGGGAAAATATGCAAAGATAATCCCTGACAAGTGCTGACAGGAGTGAGGGCAAGACGCTGAGGTCTAGACATGGAAGCTGTCATGGTCAGGCTTAGTGATGCCCAGAGGGGCATGAGAGGGCAAGTGGGCCTGGTGACTGGAAATCTGAGGGTAAATGGTCCAAATCACACAGAGATAGAATCACAGCACAGCCCTTGCTGACTGGTGTTTAAAGGACATAAGTCCTTGGTAAAGATTCTGCTAACAGGACAAAGCCCGTGAGGTGGAATCTGTAGCAAATTAGCAAATGGATGTGATGTGGAGAACAGGTTTGCCAGAACTGATGGGAAGCCCCCAGGAAATGGAGATTGTGCCCACCAAACACACCCGTCTCCAAGGACTGTGCTCGGCCTCAAGTCTCCTTCAGCTTCCTGGCCCCACACAGCCACCTGGACACCACCCTCAGCAGCTTCCCACAAAGCCACACGGCGCCCAGAGTGAGCCCCAGCAGGAACAGGAGGACATCCAGCAGGTACTGCTCATGCCAGGGCTGCTGGAAGGCATAGGGCTTGAGGTGCGCAGCGCCCCCTGTCTGCAGGATGTGGTCGATCCAGCCCACCAGCCGCTGGGCGGGGGTCAGGGGGTGGGAGCGTCTGATGACACTGGCGGCCACTGCTGCAGACTTGTACCTGTGGGCAGAGATGGGGTGGGGCCGTTACTGATGTGACCTCACAGGATCTAAACATGTGAGCCTTTTCTATTTCATGCACTCAACACCGTGATTAAGGAAAATCTCTTGGCCTGATTCTATAAAAATCTAGGTAGGTGTCTTTGAATAGTTCAGGAATGATACCTACATGTAAAAAATCCATGCTTAATTCTAAAAGAGCCCAACTGTATAAAAGTAGCTCAATCTGGGGCTCTTCAGGGCTCTGACCTCTAGCTGGGCTAGGAGGCTTACTATACACCACAGGAAAATTATATGACGTAATTATTATTATATGAATTCAGGGAGCACCTATGGTGTGCCAGTGCCTGCACTGTATGAAAAATGTCACTCTGGGGACTGCCAGGGCGAGGACAATGAAAGCACATCCCTGCACCAGTAAAGGTCATGGTCAGAGCTGAAATCCCGGACTGCTGTCTGCATATGCACCACAAGCTTAATACTATCTGTGCTTGACTGAAATCACTGCTGTAACCGTCTTGAATTCTTAAACTGAACAACAGGAAACCCTACATTTCCATTTTACACCAGACCCCACAAATTATAAATCTGGCCCTGGAGATGCAGAATATCTGGGGGAAAATCACAGCCCAGAATGACTCCTTCCCAGAGGACAGTAAATCAGGGCCATTGGGGTGTAGGTCTTTAAAAAGGCAACAAACAAAAGCTACAAACCTGTTCTTCAGGAAACGAATATCCACAACACATGACATTGCAAATGTATACAATTCTTTTGCAGTTATCCAACACCTGGAACTTAACTATTCTAGGGCTAAGAACCACGAGCTATGTGGTTGCTTAGCAGTCATTCAACTGGAAGTGCTTGTGTGTCTCCTACATTCAAAGCAGTAAATTAAGCCTTGAGGATTATGCTGTTGAAACTTTAATTAGTTATTTACTCCTTCTGAGATATGAAAAAGAAAATGTACACTTCTATCTTCACATGACGTCACTGTGCTTGACGAGCAGTTAGTTACCTGGAGGTCACTGGGACCTTTCTATAGCTCACTTGACCAAAACTCATTAGCCACTTACTTTGTGGCAGGCCCTGTGCTAGGCACTGGGAACATGGTGGAAAATGAGTGAACACACTGCTACATTCCTGAGGATCAATATTGTCTTCTCTCTAGTGTGGGGGGATAATAAATAAACCATAAACAAATGAGGTAACTACAGTCCCCAGGAAGTCTTAAGGAGGAAATGATATAGCTGGGTGGGACAGAAAAGAGGCCACCCAGGATGGTCTGGGATGAAATATATGAACAAACAAGTTAGAGAATAGACTGAAAGTCATGAAGGAGCCTCACTAAGAGGAGCAGAGAAGGAGTGTTAGATAGCAGCATAAACAAAATCCCAAGTGGAGGAAGAACGTGGAGCATTTGGAGAACAAAAAAGTAACATCTTGCCTCAGCTGGATTCCACTAGAAGAACTGCAAACATAAGAGTTCTCACAGAGCCCCTGTGTATGTAGTTTGGGTGCCCCAAACACAAAAGGTAGAAAATTATTCTTGGCATCTAAATTAAATTGCTGCAGTCTTGCTCTCAGAGGACACATACCTCTTGTCTTCCATGACTTGTTCCATCTTAAGAGTCAATGTCTCTGCCTTCAGCTCCTTTAAATTAATAGAGACACCAAGATTTTTGGCTTCTACTCGGACCATGTTTTCTAGCTGGTCTCCAAAAACAGGGATGCCCACCATGGGCACCCCATGCCGGATGGCCTCCATGATACTATTTTGCCCGCCATGGGTGACAAACAGACGGATGCTGGGGTGAGCTGTTGCAAAGGAGAAAAGGGTGCAAAATTCAGGATGAAACATTTCAGAATACCAGATGGAGCAGGGAGGACACGAGAAAAGCCCCAGGGGACCTAGAGGTGTATTGGAGCCATTGTATAGAATGATGTAGCTTAGGGCACATCCAAGGAAGCAGTTCCAAAGTGCTGAATTCCAAGCCATGCCATGTATAGAGCCTTCTCCAAGCCCAGGTAAGATTGAGAACCCAGGGAGTTCTACAGAAAAGAGGGCTACAAGGCACATATGCCCCCTCCATCCATCCATCCTTCCTTCTCCCTGTCCTTTCTGTGCTCTCTTTGCTTCTCTCATCTCTGTTCTGTCTCTTGTGTTTCTCTCTCTGTCTCTACCTCCTCAGGCTGTCTGTCCTGAGCTCTTTGTTATCCACTGACAACTAATTTCCTTTTTTTTTTTTTTTTTTTATCTCCTGATTCATTCTTTGCCATCACAATTCAGGGGTTGTTGGACTGTTACGGTAGACTCCATTTCGTGACACGTCCCTTCAAAGCCAAGCTGAGATCCTACACATAGGTATTTCCAGTTCCATCCCCTCCCTCCCAACAGTGCTTAAAGCTAATGAAAATGACTGTTATCATGAAGAGTCCATCTAACCCTGTGTCACTCAATTGTAACACATATCAAAATCTCCTAGCCTCCTCTTGGAAATGAGAATACTGGGCTCTACTCCAGAATTAACTAAACAAATTTGCAGAAGTGGAGGCAGGAATATGTTTGATAAATATTTCAGGTATTTTCAGCCGTATCTTGGTTATGAGCATTTACTAAGTGCTGTGCATCGGGTGTCTCTAAAAAGCAGTGGTTTTTTAGATTCAGAGAATGTCTCTGTGTGGTTTGTGTTTGTGTAATGACATGTGGCGGATCTGCTCCTCACAAAGCCATTAAACAGAAGGGCAGTGTCCACCTGGTGTATGTTCTCAGACTTCACAGGTTGTCTTGCATTTTGGGTGAAATGTTCCAAGACTAAATGCAATAGGGTTGAGGAGACGTGACAGGAATATCACTACTGGCTGCACACATCATGCCTGGGATAGAAAAGAAAGAAGAAAGTTGGTGGTTTTGGCATCTCATCCCATAGGAAAAATACACTGATTCCTCAAGACCTCCAGCTGGTGGCTTCCTCTTGTCCTCTAGAGTCTTACCCTTACCCATGGGCAGCTTCTTCTCTGGCAGGGACAAATGCCCAGCTAGAGGTCTGAGCCCTAAAGAGTCCCAAAGCAGGACAATGGAAAGAGAGTAGCGGGCCTGGGCAGCCCTTACCCAGGAGGTCACTCTGAGGAAGCCAGTCCATGAGTTTCACATTTGTGGACACGTTGACATCTTTGGGCCAGTGAGAATGCTTACACTTCCATATCACCCCTTGGCGGAGGTGGGCAAAGGCACTGTTCATCTCCTTAAGGACTTCCTGTAAGGTATTCATGTTCACTACGGAGCCCATAGCCACAAGGACAAAACCAGAGTCCCCGAACCTGGCAATGAAGTTCTCCAAGTCCTGGAGAGAGATAAATAAGCAAATGACATAACACAATTGCTTTTGAAAGCCTCAGCAGCAGCAGAATGCAAGTCACACTGTTCCCTGACACACCCTCTCATCAGTTCCTCTCATCTGTGCCTTGACATCACCGTCCTGAAACAGTTATCATGGCCCCTGGGACACTCAGCTCTCCTGCACTGTCCGCCCTGTTCACTGTGTGGGTGAGAACAGCTCTCTTCTTTCAAACCCTGACCCCAGATTCTGGGCTATTCCTCCCCCTGCACCCTGATTTTATTTTCAGGGAGTCACGGTCATCTGAGAGATGTCCAAGGCCAGACCAGAGGTGGTGGTCTGAGACTGCACCAGTTGGGGGTCAGTGCCCAGCATGGGGAGTGGGCTTCTGGAGGCTGGAATGGAGAAGCTGGGAGAACAACACTGTCATCAGCAGAGATAGAGGCAGAATAGGGTAAGGCTCCCCCCACCCACACACAGTGTGGATCCTAATTCCACAATATTCTAGGCCACTGATCTACATTGATGCTTCATCCCCCACCACAGTGCCTCACCCACAGGACTGCAAATGATAACCATGTGGGAAGGATTGTATAAAGCAGCCATGCCCAGCCCCAACGGCACACCTGAGCAGCTTGCATCTTCAAGTTCCCAGGCAGCTCTTAAGGAAGGCTGGTGTCTAGTGTCTTCACTGTGGCTTTAACACAGATTTGTCAGTTCTTATTTCCAAATATGTCCTCGACCCTGATTGTCTCTGCACTTCTGCAGCTCCCCTAAGCTCCCAACTCCTCACCCCTTTAGGTGGTTGAGCCACAAATAGATTCTACACAGCTCACCACTGTCTGATTTACCATCCCAAAGGACCACTTTAAAACAGCCTTGCAACCTGCTCTATAACTACAAAAGCAACCTAACACCATTGCATAAAAATTGGAAAATGAAGAGAAGATCTTTTTAAAATAGCATGTGTGTCTCACACATATTCCAACCCTCACTGCCATTGTTATCCTCACAACAATTTCCTCCTTTTACTCTATGGCCAAGGCCTGCCCCACACTCCTGACAGCTAAAACCTCCACTCAGTCCACCTTGGCTTTACTGGTGCAACAGTCCAGTCCGTCCAGCCAGACTGCCCAGGGGACACAGAGTCATGGTAATCCCACTTCCACCTCCTCATGTGGGCCCAGCTCTCCCAGCCTGGGGTCTCCCTCCCAGCTTTATTCCTAGAGCTCCTGCCACCAACACAAGGCCAGGGAATGAGGGGTGGACACTTTGGTGACCTGAAGGCCCAGGCCAAGTCCAGACCCTCAGGGCCACTCAAATGCATGGTGCTGGGAAGGTCACTCGTATCACCTGCGCCTCCATCTTTCTTCATTTATGAAATTGGAGAGGATCACACCTACAGGGGCAGGATGTTGTACATGATAACTGCTGAAAAATGGCAACCCAGTGCTGACAGACAGCAGGCAGGCAATTAATCTTATTTGTCCTCCTTTCTAAAACCTTCCACAGGAGTACCTCTGAGTCCAAACTGCTTACTCAAATCACCAAAGTATAAGATACAGCGGCCTGAGCCCATCTAGACAAATCAGATCACAGGGTCTAACTGGAGCCAGGAGCCAGGGCTCTATAGACAGGGACCATGGGATGACACCTGCAATTGCAGAGAATGCTGGATATGACACCTGCTTTCTGGCTGTTAGTCAGTCCCACACAGCCCGTACCATTTACTCCCTGTCTCACAGCACTGTCACTAAGTAACTCATTTCCATGCATATTATTGCATGCAATGGCCACTAACTACACTTTTATTGGACATGTGGTCATGCAAAATGAAAATGACAACAGCAACTGTCATGAATTGCTTATCACATCCAGCCTAGGACTAGGGTGAGGCAAGACAGCAGCCAGGGAGCCCACAAGAGGAGGCCTCAATCTCGGGACCATGGAGACCCAGAACTGTACTAGCACAGGCCTGAAGGGGAGACCCTCCTCCCACAGCAGGCCCTAGGGACCTCCCTGACCTGGCTTTGCTTCAGTCTCAGGATCCTGGTGGCACAGGGCAGCCACCAACCATGTACTGAAGGCCTTGGCATGAAATCCAAATTAGTGCTAAGGGTGTACTTACTTGTGGTACTGGTTTGGTGGGTTTGGCCATTAAGCCTCCAACATAAACGGTGTTGGGAAGTAGGGGCCGGGCAAAGTCAAAGGCAAAGTCAGAGTTAACAAACCACAGCTCTGCCTTCAGTAGGAGTTGAGACAGAACTGGCCTCGAGCCTTCTGGGAAATGCTCCTTAATGATGTTGTCATACATAGACTGAACTTGCCATTGCCTCCTGGAGAAAGTAAAGAAAGTCAGAAAGTTCTTCACTCGGCCCCAGAAGTCCATGTGGTCAGTTAAGGAGGAATGGAATACTGGAACATAAGACAAGGAGTTTGGGAGCCCAAAGTGCACAGTGCCAAATGTGGTAGGAAGAATGGACACAAATGGCTTGCCAAGCTTCTCAGCAATCAGGAAATGGCAGTAGTCAAAACTTTCAACTATCACCAGGTCGAAGTTCTTATTCTTTAAGGAATCCATGATATCCCTTCTGTTTAGCAAATGACTGCACTGAAATCCCAGTTGTTCCACAAGCTTTAAATAGTTTTGAAACATTTTCCTATAAGAAAGAAAATAAATGATGAATATTCATGGGAAGTATTAAATTCACAATACATAAAAGAATCATGAGATACAAAGACAATATCTTGGAGAACCAAGAGCATATCTAGCAGTAGTCCATACATTCAATCAATTTCCCACAAACACACTCTGCCATGGTCATTGTCTTTCCAATATTTCTGCTTCCTAGAGGGCACCCTTCTCCCCTCCCGTTTCCACCCAGATCCAGATCCCACCCACCATCATGGCCAATTCAAGGTCCTTCTCTTCTGGGAGTTGTCTCTGACAATAGTAGATCTCACAGTTCTGTGTCTCCGTGATAAATTCTGTCATGCTCTGTTTAACCCTCCTTTACACACTGACTTTTTTTTTTTTTCGGCATATGATGGGGGTACAGATTTTAAAGTTTCAATAAATGTCCTTTCCCCCCTCCCCCCACAAGTCTGAGTCTCCAGCATGACCATCCCCGAGACAGTGCACATCTCACTCATTATGTATGTATATACCCACCTCCCGCCCCCCTGCCCAATACCCTATTACTGTAGTACCTATGACTTTTTATGAGTGATTTTCTTTTTTTCCCACCTAGACTTATATGTAATTTGATGATAGACTTTATCAATATCGATAATATATGCTAATTTTTTTTCATTGTGTGTTTGTATATGAGACATTGCCTCACCGAAGAAACACTGATCGTATTAGAAGCAAAAATCTCAGCCAAAAATGAAAATTTCATGTGTCTTTGTCTAGGAGTTAAGCAATAGAAAAAAAAAAAACTAAAGACAACCTGGTTTTGAAAAACATTATTAGCCTTTCCACTTCAATGTAGGCTGGAGTAGTCAGAGGAGAAAATGCCAAAGCTTTACTAACATTTAATTAAGACTTTGCCTGCTACTATTCCAGGGACCTTTCTTCTTGCAATTCTTTCCCTTCATTGCCTGCAAAGAATATGATCCTGTCCTCCAGCATGCTAAGGAAATTGATGAGAATGCCCAGGCCAGAGCTCATAGGTGGCAGAGCAATAGATATCAGGGGCCTTTTGACTGCTTACAGGTCTGAGAGAACCAATATCTTGGCACACCTGTAACCTGTACATCACTACACCATTGCCCTTCAGTTAGGGATTGCCCTGAGGCTGAGAACTTATTATGCATAGGCATATACCTGCCTAACCATTAGGACCAGCTTCAAATCAAACAATGAAAATAATTGTCTGATATCACCTTTTATTGTTTATGCTTAAAAATTCACATAAGAAAGGAATATAAACACTTGCCAGATATTTTGGATAATTTCAATAATGCAGTAAAAGTCTTTAGTATACAGTTCATTAATGATATTTAAAATTAAGCTAATAAATTTAAAATATTTTTAAGAATATACTGTTACTCGAAACTGTCCTTAAAAATATTAAACTGGGGGAGAACAGGCAAGACATATACTTATATAACTAACTCTGCAAGATGATATAAACTAAGTGTCAAATGGGTGAGTTAGATTAGACCTGCAGCGGTGGGAATACAGTCTCCCAGCTTGACTGATAGAGAAGGTTTTGGGGGAAATGTCAGATTTATATTCCACAACATCAAGAATGATGGAATCCTCCCCAACATATTTTATGAAGTGAACATAACCCTGATATCAAAACCAGGAAAGAATGCAACAAAAAAGAAAACTACAGACCAATATCCCTTATGAATATAAATGCAAAAATTCTCAACAAAATCCTAGCCAATCGAATCCAGGCGCTTGCCAAGAAAATAATCCATCACAACCAAGTGGGCTTCATCCCAGGGATGCAGGTATGGTTCAACATACACAAATCTATAATGTAATTCACCATATAAACTGAAGCACAAACAAAGACCATATGATCCTCTCAATAGAAACAGAAAAAGGATTTGGCAAAATTCAACACCTTTTTATGATAAGAACGCTCAACAAAATAGGCATAGACAGGGCTTACCTAAAAATGATACAAGCCATATATGACAAACCCACAGCCAATATCATACTGAATGGGGAAAAATTGAAAGCCTTTCCACTTAGAACTGGAACAAGACAAGGTTGCCCACTATCTGCACTTCTATTCAACATAGTGCTGGAAGTCCTTGCTACAGAAATCAGACAAGAGAGTGGAATTAAGGGCATCCAAATGGGAGCAGAAGATATAAAACTCTCACTCTTTGCTGATGACATGATATTATACCTAGAAAACCCCAAGGATTCAACCAAGAGACTTCTTGAACTGACAAATGAATTCAGTAAAGTCCCAGGATACAAAATCAATACACTCAAATCAGAGGCATTTATATATGCCAACAACAGTCAAAGTGAGAACCAAATCAAAGACTCAATTCCCTTCAAGATGGCAACAAAGAAAATTAAGTACCTAAGAATATATTTAACTAAGGAGGTAAAAGACCTCTACAGGGAGAACTATGAAACACTGAAGAAGGAAATAGCAGAGGATGTAAACAGGTGGAAGAACATACCATGCTCATGGGTTGGCAGAATCAACATTGTTAAAATGTCTATACTACCCAAAGTGATCTACAGAGTCAATGCAATCCCTATTACAATGCCATCATCATTTTTCACAGATATACAAAAAATAATTTTATGCTTCGTATGGAACCAGGGAAGATCCTGTATAGCAAAAGCAATCCTAGGCAATAAATACAAAATGGGAGGTATCAATTTATCAGACTTCAAACTAAACTACAAGGCTATAGTAATTAAAACAGCTTGTGACTGGCACAAGAACAGGGACATTGACCAGTGTAACAGAACGGAGAACCCAGATATAAAACCATGCTCATATAGCCATCTAATCTTTGACAAAGCAGACAAAAACACACTGGGGAAAAGAATCCTTATTCAATAAATGGTGCTGGTAAAACTGGATAGCCACATGTTGAAGACTGAAACGGGACCCACACCTTTCACCTCTCACAAAAATCAGCTCACGCTGGGTAAAAGACTTGAACCTTAGGTGTGAAACTATTAGAATTCTAGAGGAAAACATTGGAAATACTCTTCTAGACATTGGCCTATGCAAAGAATTTATGAAGAAGACCCCAACGGCAATCACAGCAGCAACAAAAATAAATAAATGGGACCTGATCAATTTAAAAATCTTCTGCAAAGTCAAAGAAACCATCAAGAGAGCAAACAGACAACCCACAGAATGGGAGAAAAATTTTGCAAGCTGCACATCCGATAATGGGCTGATAACTAGAACCAATTTGGAACTCAGGGAAATCAGCAAGGAAAAATCAAACAACCCTATCAAAAAGTGGGCAAAGACATGAACAGAAACTTTCCAAAAGAAGACAGAATAATAGCCAACAAACATATGAAAAAATGCTCAACATCTCTAATCATCAGGAAAATGCAAATCAAAACTACAATCAAAACTCCCAATTTCCCTGTTCTTGTGCCAGTCCCAAGATGTGGAAACAACTGAAGTGCCCATCAATACCTGAGTGGATTAATTTTTTTTTTTTTGAGACAGAGTTTCACTTTGTTGCCCAGGCTAGAGTGAGTGCTGTGGCATCAGCCTAGCTCACAGCAACCTCAATCTCCTGGGCTCAAGCGATCCTACTGCCTCAGCCTCCCCAGTAGCTGGGACTACAGGCATGTGCCACCATGCCCAGCTAATTTTTTTTGTATATATATTTTTAGTTGGTCAATTAATTTCTTTCTATTTTTAGTAGAGACAGGGTATCGCTCAAGTTGGTTTCGAACTCCCGACCTTGAGCAATCCTCCTGCCTCAGCCTCCCAGAGTGCTAGGATTACAGGTGTGAGATACCACGCCCGGCCCATGAGTGGATTAATAAAATGTGGTATATGTATACCATGGAGTATTCTTCAGCTGTAAGAAACAATGGTGATATAGCACTTCTTGTATTTTCCTGGATAGAGCTGGAAGCAATATGGAGATACTTAAAAGTGATACAAGTGGAGCTACCATTTGATCCAGCAACCCCATTACTGGGCATCTACCCAAAGAACAAAAGTCACTCTATGAAAAAGACACCTGCACTCAAATGTTTATACCAGCACAATTCACAATTGCAAAGATGTGGAACCAACCAAAGTGTCCATCAGTACATGAGTGGATTAATAAAATGTGGTATATGTATACCATGGAGTACTCTTCAACTATAAGAAACAATGGTGCTATAGCACTTCTTGTATTTTCCTGGATAGAGCTGAAACCCATTCTACCAAGTGAAGTATCCCAAGAATGGAAAAATAAGCACCACATGTACTCACCAGCAAATTGGTATTAACTGATCAAGACATAAGTGGACATATAGGAAAAACATTTATCGGGTGTTAAGCAGGTGGGGGGGAGGGGATGGGTATATACATACATAATGATTGTAATGCACACCAACTGGGGGATGGACACGCTTGAAGCTCTGACTCGAGGGGGAATGGGGGGCAATGGCAATATACATAACCTTAACATTTGTACCCTCATAATATGCTGAAAAAAAAAAAACACCACTACTTACAAGCAGACTAGAATTTGCAAGGAAAGATATAGGGTAAGGTCACTGTAATTAATCAAGATAGGCATGGGTTTCTTTATTTTCTGTTTGTTGTCTTAAGAGTAAAAAGTTATATGTTCCTTTGCATTATAGATGAAGCAAAAAGAGTCAGTATCATGTCTCATTTTGTATCAGGGTGATTCATTTATAACGGAACTTTACATGGCCAGACATCAAACTTCTGTAAAGCAACATTCATAAATCTTCCCTTTATATATAAGTTTGTGAGAGGAGAAGGGACGAAATTAAGTTGGAAAATATTCAACAGTAAGATAGTGAGAGGCATTTCCCTGTTTCTGTTTTGGGGAAATTCCAGACCATCTTTGTAGATGAAGTGTTGCAAGGAAGTCCGAGAAGGAACAGTCTTTCAATTTGTATAGATATACATTAATGCTCATAGTGTAGGAAGGACAGTATAGAATAAGAAAGGTTTTCCAGTAACTGTACCAAATCCACCGACCTATTTTATACACATCCACCTATCATCTATGTATCTTTCCATCCATCCGTCCCTTTGCCTTATCCTCATTTCAATTATGCAGTCATCCACTCATTTATTTACATGATTAAAATAGTAACTCTTTGGTTAAAACAATAAAAAAATACCTTTCATTGTAACCTTCTTCCACAAACAAACTTGAAACCTTTTCAAATTCCTTTTGATAGTCTTCAGGTGGAAACCAACTAATAACTTGGTATGATTTTTCTTCCTCTTTAAAATCTAAGAAAATAGCAATAGATTAAAAAAGGTAAATATGCCACACAACATGGTAACACTAGCATAACAATGACAAAATTTGCTTATTCTAATTATTTCACATTATAAGAATGTTTGATCTTTTAAACAGTTTTACCTCATTTTGCTTCTTTCTCATTCATTCAGTCTTATACACTGATAACTTTTATTGAGACTGTACAATGATTCTGGGTTTATTTTTCAATTTGAATATATGAAAGCTCCATGTAAAGCTTTCATTTAAAGGTATAGCAATTTTTCTCATTTTACAGGCATGAAAACAAAGGCTAATTTAGTTTAAGACAACCTGTCAAAGCTGCACACATAGAAATTGGCAGAGTTTGTATTGAAATACAGTATGAGTCTGTTTGATTTCAGAGCCTCTGCTATTTCTGCTTGAGAAAAAATTCATTTTCATAATTTAAAGTGATACATGCAAATAATTTTTTATTCAGTCAAAAAGTCAGAAATTGATCTGCTCCACAACACCAATAGTGCAACAAGCATTGGATACTAGTGATAGACATGATCATTTAAATAGACATAAAATAAAAGGGAAAATATGAATCACCAGTCCCAAGATATTTTGATATGAACTGGGCAAAGAAAATTAGGTTTTAAGGACTAGGAATAACTCTCTGGTCTCCAGTTCAGCCCTCTGGGCTTGAAGCTCTGCCCTCTGGGCTCACGGCTTCACCCTCAGAGTTATCCTTCCTTTTCCAGGAAGGCTAGCATGTGTTTGCAGCTGAGGAGTTTATCATCTATTTCCTACTTGTAGAATTTTGGCTGTCCAACAGCCTAATTTCCTGTCATCGTCTCTCTCTGATCCTTTCAGTCCAAATTGGTCATGGATTTGCTGGCATAAAATTCTCAGGTACCTTGCAGCTCTTCTGTGTATGTCATGGGATGTCAATTCACTCCTTTCTGATAATTTCATCTTTATTTTTGTTTTCTGCCACTATGGGTGAAGAAGTCCACGAGTCATATACCTAATTGCAGGATAAGCCATTGGGTGGCCTTCAACTGACCCTGTTCCTACCTCCACTTTCTCACCTAAAGTTCTCAAGAATAACTGTAGAATGTGCTGGGAAGGCAACATCTTGAGATAGGAAGAAACTGGCTTGAAGAGCCCATGCTTTGTTCCTGTCCCCACTAGAAACAGGTTGTTTTTCCATCTTTAGCCCAGTATGTCTGGTTTCCCCAGAAGATAAAATCCCAGGTGGGCTCCTTTTCACAGGCCTTCATCTGCAATACATGTGGGGCATGCTCACCTGAGACTCCATTTGACCCAGTCAGCTTTCTGAGCCTTGGGGGACCAGCTGGCAATGAACCCTGGGCTTCTGTTATCCCTTGCTGCCTATTCATAACTAAGAAATCCGGCCGGGCGCGGTGGCTCACGCCTGTAATCCTAGCTCTCTGGGAAGCCGAGGCGGGCAGATTGCTCGAGGTCAGTTCAAAACCAGCCTGAACAAGAGTGAGACCCTGTCTCTACTATAAATACAAAGAAATTAATTGGCCAACTGATATATATATAAAAAGTTAGCCGGGCATGGTGGTGCATGCCTGTAGTCCCAGCTACTCGGGAGGCTGAGGCAGAAGGATCGCTCGAGCCCAAGAGTTTGAGGTTGCTGTGAGCTAGGCTGATGCCACGGCACTCACTCTAGCCTGGCCAACAAAGCGAGATTCTGTCTCAAAAATAAAAAAAAAAAAAAAAAGGAAATAAATCCACCTCATGTAATCTGTATAGAATGTGTTCTGTCTTACCCAATTCAAACGAGTTTGTCACCAGTACACAGTGAACCTGCCTCACACTAATCTCTTCAATGAGCCTCTGTGTGACTCAATACTCTCACTTTTTAATCCTTCAGAGACATTAGCAAAAGCTTGTCCAGCCACACAATTGGCTTTCTTTACAAGAGAAAAGGATCCACAGGTTTCCTGACATTGACACCTCTAACTTCAGAATCTGTTATAATCCTAATAGGCTGAGAATTTCCCAAAACATGAAGTCCTGGTTCAGTTTTGCCTAACAGTTCTTTCCTCAATTTCTCTCTTTCCTCTCACATTTTCCTATCCACCACAGGAAGACATTAACATTTATATTTCAAAAAATAGTCTACTTATGACGATTTTCATAGCCTCTAAAGCAATATAGATTTTCTCTACAATATTCCTTTTTTCTGTTAAAGAAAGTGAAAATCTCAAGAGTACCTCCCAATTCCCTATGTAAAAGGAAAGGTAAAGGCCTCAAGTACCTGTGGAGACTGGCCTCACACATCATTCATCAGAGAAATTCCTTACTGGCCTCCTATAAGCAAGAACTTGCAATTTGTAACTTTATGTCTGCAGGCTAAGTATAGCTCCTAAAAGTAAAGTCTTTTTGTTCCCACAATTATACTGAATTACAAGTTTATCTGCACAGGTGCAGAACAGAGACAAGGCAGGATTAGACATTCTTCCACCTATCCTTTGGATACATAACTGAGCTTCACACATACATAATTCATGCTTCCTTCATTGCTTTTTTTCTCTTCTAACATTCCCCTTATCTTATGTAAAGTGTAGATTTTCTAGAATCTCACAAAAATATAATCCTTTTGTTTCACTAACCTCATGCCTTTTTCTTTCTGTATTCCCTACTGCTTTTTAAATACTGAAACTTCCAAATTGCCCTTCAGAATAATAGCCACAGATCTGTCTGTGGTTTGTGTTTATCCTTGGTGAGTCCTCAGCTTTGGCTTAATAAATCTCTGTTAAGAGATCTTTACCTTAGTCACTTATTTTGGGTTGACAAAGCAGAGCAGTAACCCTTCTGGCTTGCAGCAATTCCACTGGTGCTGGGGTCCTGGCTAAATGTTTACTGAAACCTACAGTGAATTTCACCAAGGCCAAATAGTGGCTCTCTCCTGAGGTTCCTTGATTTCATAAAATTTTTGGTTTGATATCCAAGGTATATTTTGCCAGGAAATACCTCTAAGGAGTTTTTCAAGCTTCCATTTAGAAAGGTTAATTTCCCTGCTTTTTGATGAGAGAATGTAGCATAACCTTTGGCCCATCTCCAAATAAGGAGCTAGTCCTAGGTTATGTACTAAGAGGTTAAAGTTTATTGTGAGTTAACTATAACTTCTCCTTATGCTTAGGTATCTCAATAACATATTAATTGTGTGATTGCATCTTCTATTTTTCATTTTGGTCTGTGTTACATTAGATTTAAACAACTGTTAGTCAATACTGACAAAATCTCTAAATTATGGGAAATGAGACCTTTAAAATCAATTAACACCCTTTCAACTGCAGTACACTCCTGGTTAAAAGAAATCAAAATATTACCCTATTGTCATATTTATATGTGTGTGTGTGTGTGTGTGTGTGTGTTTTCCTATTCCTCCTTCAACTTTGCCATCTTCAGCACCACATGAACAAACAAGCCTAGAATAAACTTCTTATGACTCAAATCCTTTCATAAACTTGGACAAAAGGCACCACTGACTTCTTTTGAAGGATCTGCTGTTTTCCTTGCAGAATCTAAAGTCACAGACAGTTTCCTCTCAGGTGCACAACTCTGCTCTCTGTTGTACTGTGTTACCTGATCTTTTTGTGTTGCCTGATCTTTTTGGCTTTTGAGTTAATTTTGAAATTAACTTTGTCTTCCTCTAGCATAGCCCAAACTCCTTTTCAAGATACAGTATATTCTTTCTCTCTGTCTCTCCTCCTCCCCTTACCTCTGCATTCCACTTATACATAGTACCCAGAAGAGTCAAATAATAGAGAAATAAAGCAGAACACTGGTCCTTAGGGGCTGGGGCAGTAGGTAATGGGGAGTTACCGTTTAATGCATAGGGTTCTAGCTTATGATGATGAAAAAGTTCTGGAGATGGACGGTGATGAAGGTTGTACAACAATATGAATGTCCTTAAAGTTACTAAAATGTATACTTAAAATGGTTAAAATGGTAGGTTTTATGTTATGTACGTTTTACCACCACAAAATATTAAAAAAAATTTTAAAGTTTATTAAAAATTTATTTTAAAAGTCTGAACACTAACCAAGCCTGAAGTCACCCTCAAAGTTTTATAACATCTCAGAATTTTGTTCCTCAAATATGTTTGCTTTCTGATTATTTTATATTAAGGCCTGAGCAACATTTCCTTATTGAGCAATCCAGAGTCTCAAGTCCTAAACACACCCAAATTGCCCTTCAGAATAATAGCCACAGATCTGTTATCACCCTGCCACGAGACCTTGAGCAAATCTTACAAGTTCTCTTGGCTTCTGTTTTCTTGTGAGTCACTGGAGAAGAGGTGACAAGGTTTATGAGGCGCTTTATTTTAGCCAACACTCTTTGGATTTGATGACTCACTTAAAATTTTCTGACATGGCTATGTACATTCTCATGGGCAGCCATTTATTTTTCAAGAATCCATGATGATCCCAATGATAGATTCTATTTTAGCTGTCTGAATAAGGGGCTCCCAAGAAAACTTCCTCAAATTTCAGATATCATAAAAGAGTAAAGAGCTATCTGTGATATATAAGAAGAAAAGTGACCATTACATAGAATAAATGTTAAATATGGCCAAATCCTTTGTTCAATATATTTCTAAGCCATAGAATAAAGAAGAATTTATGAAAATAATGTGTATAATTTGTGGATGATTGCTTGGGGTGGAGTAGAAGTCAAATAAAGGAGAAAAATATGAGAGTATGGAGTGTTGAGTCCTGGTAGACAGGGCTTAAGAAGATTTCTAACAGTTTACATGCACATACATGCACACACATGCACATACTTTCTTCATTCTTTCAGTTCAAATACATTTTTAAAAATATTTTGCTAAGCCTTTCTATGCAGAAGGCATTTTCCTCTTTTCCTAGAGTAAAAGAAATCAAGAATTAGTGAGAAAAGATACCTGATATTAAAGAATTTCCTCCCTGACGAAGCATGGTGACATGATGACCATGATCTTGAAGAATCTCAGCGACCCGGCCCATCAGCAGATAATGGCTTCCACCTAGGAACAATGCACAACTTCAGTTCTATAACTCTGAGAATACAGTGTCTGAGGTATGTAGGGTGGTTAAGTTGAGGAGAGGAAGGGTAGGGAAACAGGAAATTGACAGTGATTAAAGGAAGATACATTTTGTCACTCTCTCCATCTCCCTCTGGGTAGCACACATCCCATGCACCCAGAGCATGACTGCCCAAATGGTTAACCAGTGGAAATCCTCCATCAGAGATTGTCCCTTGTGACTCACAGTCTCTAAGCAGTGTGATGAGCTTCTCTGTGTTTAGGCTTAGGAGTTCCTCACCCTAAGCTAATGCTGCATTTTGAAAAAGGCCTTATGCTGATACCCTATCCAAAGGAAGTAACTGCATTGGTGGAAAATATAGGCACGGTGTTGCACATATCATTGTGGAGAGTAGTCCTAAGAGACAGTCAATCCATCAGGGCCTTGATTCTTGGTGATGTAAAAGGGATCTAATAGAGCCTATGATGTGTTGAAATAAAGTCTCAGAGAAGCTGCATCCTGGCATGACCACTTTACTCTGACACATTGTTCTCGTCAATCATCATTCCTTCCCTTTGGGAGAAAAGTAAACAAAATAAAACTAAGGGAACAAAATGCAGAATTCACAGTCCCATGAGTCCTTCAAAAACTTTCAGTAGCACAAGTTAAAGGAAGAAGGGTCAAAAACGTTTGAATGACCTGGGTCCTCCCTCAGTCTTAGACAGTTCTGCAGGTTTCCTGTGGATGAAAACACTCCATTGTCCTTACTGTCAGGAAATACCTCCCCTGCTCTACCTTGACTCTGGATGCAGCTTCAGAAAATGTGCAGTGTTGTCCCAGGAGTGCCTTCCCTGACCCGCAAGAGCCTGAAACTGCTTGTCATAAGTTCTACTGAAAGCTACTGTGCATCGCCATCCCTAGGGTTTAGGTGAGCCTCTGACTGTCCCATTGAGCCCTGCAGAAGGCAGCCCGGGAGCTTATTCTGCTCTGTAATGGATCAAACCTCAGCACCAGCCCTGCACAATGGGGAGCACATCCTGAATAGAAAGACAGAGGGAAGCATTTTGTGTTTTCTCCAAAACTATCTTACCCATCTCAGCAATAGAGGCTCCTCTCTGCCCTACAACCATGTGAGTTCCACTTCCTTCCAGCCCAGTACAAAAGTCCAGGCTGGAAAAACAAGTGCATGACCCTCTGATCAATCATGCTTCACCTGAGCCCTGGAAGCAAGGACAACTGTGCCACCTCTGTCTAGGTTTCTGACCAAGCACTCACCCAGTGTAGACATTGTCAGGATTTCCGCAGCCTCTGAAAGCAGGATCCCAGGGAGAAGGGAGCCCACTAGAAGCAGCACCCAACGCCCAGCCATGCTCTCTCTTGCAGAAGCCACAGAGCCCAGACTGGACGGCACACCCTGGGCTGGGCTAAGGAACCCTGTGTCCTTCAGTGAAGCAAAGGTGCTCACTGTGAGCTTGGAAAGAAGTAGGAGAAAGCCAGTTTTCTGTCATCTCCTTTGCAGTTCTGCCCTCCTCCCTGGGTGCTCCTCCATTGGGCAATCTGCTTCTCGCACCACCAGCTATCAATAAGAGGGTGTGGTGAGCTAATCCTTAACCCTGTTCTGTCCATGTAATTATAGCGTTATCTGCCTCGTAAATAGGTACTATGAACTAGAAAAGGAAAGATCTCAGTAGATCATGTTTATGACAGCTCCACCCCCAAGTCACCCACATCTCTTTTATATGCTGTCCTGAATTCCAGTGCTCTACTTCTCTGCCAGCTGCCTCATAATGACCCCATGCTGCCATCCTGATGCCCCATTTCCCCAGAGACCTGCTTAAAACTTTTAGAGGCTGTCGCAAGCTCAAGATTTCCCTGGAAGGGAATCCCCAAGGTGATCATTTTATTATCTCTGGCTCTCTCCCTTAGGATATCTTTAGAAGGTGACATTCATGAAGAGGAACTAGTGAACTCTGGAAATTCAAGTCTTTACCTGGAAGATTAAACTTCTAAAGGCAAGACTGTAATTCTGAATGAGCACATAAAATAGGATGGGATCTTTCCATAAATTCCTCGAGCACAAGCTGAGGCCAGTTTGTCATATCACCCCCTTGTACTTTTGGCCTGGGGAGGGCAGGGTCGCCATGCCCAGGACTCACGTTTTTCTTCCCTATCCTCAAACCAACACTAGTCTTAGGAAAGGCTTTCAGGGCAACTCTACACAGGCAGAGTAATGCTTCAGTGGATCATGTGTACAGGGCGAGTGGGCCCTTGACTTCTGTACTATTACTGTTTTAAGATTAGTAGGTTAATTTTTTCATATTTAAATTTTTTATTTTTTTTCTTTTTATTTCAGGATATTATGGGGATACAAATATTTTGGTTACATGTTGTAACTTTTCCTCACCCAAGCGAATAGAGGCTTGCCCTTCCCCCATACAGTGCTCACCAATTCCATTAGTTCTGAGTTTACCCACCCACCCCCAACCCCCAGTGAATATTACTACCACGTGAGCACCTTAGTGTTGATCAGTTAGTGCCAATTTTATGGTGAGTACATGTGGTGCTTATTCTTCCATTCTTATGATACCTCACTTCGGAGGATGGGCTCAAGCTCTATCCAGGATGATATAAGAGGTGCTACTAGATCACCATTGCTTTTTATAATTGAGTAATATTCCATTGTATACATATACCATATTTTATTAATCTACTCATGGTGAATTGTGCTGCCATAAACATTCGAGTGTAGGTGTCTTTATTATAGAATGTCTTTTGGTTTTGGGGGTAGAAGCCTAGTAGTGCTATTACTAGATCAATTGATATTTCTATTTTTAGCTCTTTGAGGTATCTCCAAATTATTTTTCACAGAGATTGTACTAATTTTCAGTCCCACCAGCAGTGTAAGAATGTTCCTATCTCTCTGCATCCTCACCAGGATTTGTTGTTTTGAAACTTTTTGATAAAGGCCATTCTCAGTGAGGTTAGGTGATTATCTCATTGTGGTTTTGATTTGCATTTGCCTAATGATTACAGATGGTGAGCATTTTTGTTGTATGTTTGCTGGCCATTATTCTGTCTTCTTTTGAAAAGTGTCTGTTCATATTGCTTGCCCATTTATTATGGGGTTGTTTGATTTTTTTCTTGCTGATTTTTGGAAGTTCTATATAGATTCTTGTTCTCAGCCCTTTATCAGATGTGTAGAAAGCTAATATTTTCTCCCATTCTGTAGGCTATCTACTCACTGTAATGATAGTTTCCTTGGCTGTGCAGAAGCCTTTTAATTTGATCAGGTCCCATTTATTCATTTGTGTTGCTGCTGTGATTGCTTTGGATGTTTTCTTCATAAATTCTTTGCCTAGGCTGATGTCTGAAAGAGTCTTCTTTACATTTTCTTCTAGGATTCCTAAGGTTTCATGCCTTAGGTTTAAGTCTGTTATCCATCGTGAATTGATTATTTTAAGAGGTGAGAGTTGGGGATCCAGTTTCAATCTTCTGCATGTAGTTATCCAGTTTTCCCAGCACCATTTTTTGAAAACATTCTTTTCCCCAGTGTGTATTTTTTTCTGCTTTGTCAAAGATTAGATGACAATATGTGGATGGTTTCATTTCTGGGTTCTCAGAAATGAGGACCTGGTCCTGTTCCAAAAGTCTATATCACTGTTCTTGTGCCAGTAACATGCTGTTTTGCTTACAATAGCCTTATAGTAAAGCTTGAAGTCTGGTAGACTGATACCTCCCAGTTTGTTTGGTTTTTTGCTTAAGATTGCTTTGGCTATACAAGAGGTTTTCTCTGGTTCCATAGAAAGCATACAATTATTTTTTCTAGATCTGTAAAGAATAATGATGGTACTGTGATAGGAATTATCTTAATTCTGTAGATCACTTTGGGTAGTATGAACATTTTAACAAGGTTGATCCTACCAATTCATGAGCAAGGTAGGTATTTCCATCTGTTTACATCTTCTATAATTTCTTTTCTTAGTGTTTCATAATTCTTCCTGTATATGTTTCTCACCTCTTTCATTAACTATATTGGTATATATTTAATATTCTTTGAGACTATTGTAAAATGTGATGTGTTTTTTATTTGATTTTAGGCTTGACTATTATTGGGGTATATTAATGCCTCTAATTTGTGTGCATTGTTTTTGTATCCTGAGACTTTACTGAATTCATTTATCAATTTCAGGAGTCTCTTGGTTAAATTCCTGGGGTTTTCTACATATAATATCATATCATCGGCAAAGAGTGAGAGTTTGATCTCATCTGCCCCCATTTGGATGCCCTTAATTCCCCTCTCTTGTCTTGTTGCTCTGGCAAGGACTTCCAGCACTATGTTGAATAGAAGTGGAGATAGTGGACAACCTTGTCCAATTCCAGTTCTAAGTGGGAATGTTTTCAATTTTTCCCCATTCAGTATGATATTGGCTCTGGGTTTATTGTATATGACCGTAACAATTTTAAGGTATGTCACATCTGTGCCTATTTTTTTAAGAGTTTTTATCATAATGGTGTGCTGGATTTCATCAAATGCTTTCTGTGCATCTATTGAGAGAATCATATGTTCTTTGTTCTTGCTTTTATTTATGTGGTGAGTTGCATTTATAGATTTGTATATGTTGAACCACCCTTGCATCTCTGGGATAAAGCCCATCTGGTCATGGCAAATTATATTTTTGATGTGTCATTGGATTCAATTTGCTAAAAATTTGTTGAGGATTTTTGCTTCTATATTCATGAGGAATGTTGGTCTGCAGTTTTCTTTTTTTGTTGTGTCCTTTCCTAGCTTTCATATCAAGTTGATACTGACTTCATAGAATGAGTTGGGGAGGATACCATCTTTTTCAATGCTGTGTGCTGTGGAATAATTCCTGTAGTATAGGTATGAGTTCTTCTTTGTATGTTTGGTAAAATTTGGGTGTGAACCCATCTGATCTGGGACTTTTCCTTGTTGCAAGGTTTTTAATTGCTGCCTCAATTTCTGTGCTTGATATTGATCTGTTCAGGGATTCTAGTTCCTCCTGGTTGAACTTAGGGAAGATTATGTTTCCAAGAATTTATCCATTTCCTCCACATTATGTAGTTTCTTGGCATATAGGTTTTCATAGTATTCAAAGATAATGTTTTGTATTTCCATGGTGTCTGTTGTGACCTCTCCTTTTTTATTTCTAATTGAGTTTATTAGAGTCCTTTCCCTTCTAGTTCCTATCAGTCTAGCAAGAGGGCTGTCAATTTTGTTTATCTTTTAAAAAAACAGCTTTTGGTTTTATTGATCTTCTGTATAGTTCTCTTGCTCTCAATTTTTGTTCACTTTCATTTAGTTCTGCTCTGATCTTATTTATTTCTTTCCTTCTGCTAGGTTTGGAATTGACTTGATCTTCCCTTTCCAGTTTCTTGAGACAGTTTATTAGTTTGTTGATTTTTGACCTGTTTTTTGGATGTGAGCATTTAATGCTACTAGTTTTCCTCTCAGGAATGCTTTTGCTGTATCCCACAGATTTTGATAACTTGTGTCCCCATTATATTTAGTTTGAAGAATCTTTTGATTTTCCCTCTGTATCTCCTTCTTGACCTGGTAGTCATTCAACAATAGATTGTTTCATTTCCATGACTTTGTGAAGTGGTGAGTGTTTCTGTTGGAATTGAACTCTGTTGGAATTAGCAAGTGGTTGTGATGTGGCAAACAAGGTTGCCAGAACTGGTCGGAAACTCCCAAGAAATGTTGATGCTGCCCCCACAAAACACCCCTCCCCCAGGGCTTTCTTGGCCTCATATCTCCTTCAGCTTCCTGGCCCCACACAGCCACCTGGACACCACACCCAGCAGCTACCCACGAAGCCACATGGTTCAGAGTGAGTCCCAGCAGGAATATAAAGACGTCCAGCAGGTACTGCTCATGCCAGGGCTGCTGGAAGGTGTAGGGCTTGAGGGGCACTGCTCCGTCTGTCTGGAAGATGTGGTCGATTCAGCCCAACAGCAGCTAGGCAGGGCTCAGGGTATGGGATCAACTGATGATGCTGGTGACAACTGTTGAGGACTTGTTGGCAGAGACAGAGTATAGGGAGCAATGTTAGATGCCAGATCTCAGCAGCCTAGGCTTAACACAGAGGCTGGTTTCCAGTTATAGCCTGGACTCAAAATTTACCAGCCGATTCCTATAAACCATTCAATTTTCTAAAGATCCCTATGTGCACAGAATCCAACTTAATGCTAAAAGATAAAGTTGTGAAAACGCCCATAGAGTTTATGATCTAATAGATCAATAAATACCAATATGGTTGCTACATGGTCTCATTGCTAAGGAAGCACCACTGATTGTAATCTTTTCATTGGATAAAGCTATAAAATATATACATATAGATGTGGATACAGAGTTTCTGTTTACATATCACTACCTATAGACACTATAGCTACGTCTATGTTTAGGTTTTAAAAAATCATGAATTTATACTATCTTCCATTCTAATACAATACCACTTGATTCTTCTAATCTCTCCCATTCCCACATTTGCAATTTCCTTTTACATCTTAAGGAACT